TAATCGATTTTTATTTAGATTTTACCTTTCTAAAATCTCTTTGAATTTTCTTGTTCCAAAAATGAAATTTTGTGGGGTGCCTTTTCATTAACTTTTGCAATGAGATAATTTCAGCCTCTCCTACCAAAAGCCCGTTCACTTCTGAACCTGAATATCCTTCAAGCTGAGCAGTTTATCCAGCCTCAGACTCTTAACGGCTTACCCTGCCCATCTGCAAGGAACAGGGCTTCGGTAGCATACTTGGTTAAACGCTCAGAAAAATCAGCCAACCCTCCAGGTTTATGATTCTTCAACACTACGAATACTGATTTGACTCAGTGGAAATGCCCATATGAGTTAAGGTGCCTGGATTGTGTTGATTGAGCTCGGTTGTTTCTTTCTCTGGTCCATCTCAATCAGGGTGAGCCTTTTAAGTTAGCTGCCTTATGCTGAGTACCAGGGTTTTGAAACCCCTCATCTTGGTGCCTCATGAGGTGGTTTTGGATGGGAAGCAAGGTACAGAGATGCTCTGGTTTGAGTTTTTGGGAGCCACCTAAGACCTGAAGCCCAAAGGGACGGGTCAGTCCAGTGCCCCACCAGTGCCGGGCTCTGCTAAGAGGGCAGGGAGGTTCCTCAGTCCTCCCAGCACGGCACTCCTCAGTGCTGCTTTGCCAAGTGGCTGATGGAGCCGTATCCATGCTATACCCACATCTTGAAAAAGGTCTCATTTTTATTTCAAATACGCCTGAAATGCATCTACACAACATTAAGCAGTTTCACTATTCAAATACTTCAGTGTTACCTAAATCAGATTTCAACAATACATTTACAAAGACTAAAATTTGACAATTAAATTGATGTTGAAATGTACCTATAACTGAGTAATGACTACCAAGTGGAGTCCCTCAGAGCTCATGAAACTTAATCTCCTTATCAGTGTCTGTGATACATTCTCACAATCCTCACTACTGAGATATGCTGCTGTCACAAATACTGAAGGAAGCATAACTAACGAGTGGAGAAACTTCTGCGGTGAGGGCTTCATTCAGGACTACCAGGCTGTGGCACATGAAAAAATCCTGCCCGAGATGCCAGTGTACTCACCCAGGCCAACCACAAGCTGCTGTAAAGAGGGTGCAGCATCCCCACATGTGTCCAGAAGGTCCAATGCTACCTGGACAGCACAGGGTTGCATTTGCACATTTGTTGTTTGGAAACCTCTGGGCAGAAATACAGTGAGCAACACCTAACAGTGCTGCCATGGGCTCCAGCCTTGGAAGTGGTGGCTTAGAATACACCCTGTGTAGCAAATGACCTGAAGCTCCTGTTGTGCTGCTGCTGCACAAAGGGTTAACGGTCGATTTGCCAAGGCAGGGGACAGAGAAGACCTTGTAGGAGGAGTGTGCAAGTCCCATGCCTAAGGGTATTTCCCCCTCAAGCTGGGTCTGACCACTCCTCATCCCGGTGCGTTATTGGCAAATGGACAAGCTCTGGAGGAGAGCTGGGGGATAACTCAGAAGTCAGGAAATAGGAGTCATAGCAGGGAGTTCAAGAAATGCTATTTATTTCAATGCAGAAAGAAAATGTACTTTGATCTTGAGCTGTGAGAATTCATAGGAAGGGAGTAGTAAACTCTTTAACAGAACAGACTCCTTCCTACCTGTTGTACAAGCTACAGAAAAGCAATGGCTGGAGACTGAAGCAAAACCGTCACAGAAAAATCAGGACAGAAGCAACATACCAGAGTTTGTTTCTAAACAAATGACGGTTCCCAAATCAAATTAATGCTTTCTAAGAGATCTTTTTGTTCAAACTAAATTTCATACAAGAAGCTCCATTATCCTGTAGTGCACTCCTCTGGTATAATTATACTTTTGGCTTTATAATCTGGTAAACTGCTTAAAATGTCTACAGTCAGCTACTAACATACATACATATTTTCAAGTGGAGGATGCTGCTAGAACTGGCCCCATACATATGTGCACACACACACAGTGGTCAGGTACAAGTTTTCAAGATAAGCTTTAAGCATTTCTTTACATTGGCCTGGTAAAACTCCAGGAATTGCCTTAATTGACTACACAACTGCCTCACTGAAATCCCATTCAGAGAGTTAATTTCAATTGTGTCAGATAGGAAGTCTCTCATGGTGAATATTGCTTGAATGATTTAAGAGCACCTAAATGCATCCATACGTAGAGAATAGTGGATAAATCGTTATCTTGGAATAGAGAAAGGAGCCCTTCACAGCAATTCCTCTCCAAGAATGATCATTTATTACTTTTGATTGTTTTTTAAAGATGACATATTGCCTTAGATTATTTCTCAACATTTGTGAATTATGAACTTTTTTCTTCAAATATGAGGAAGAACTTTTTCTCTTTATTGATGCCTTCTCAAGCCATTTGTCAAATTTCATGCAGGATATTACGGGTTGGAAGGGACCTTGAAAGATCATCTAGTCCAATGCCCCTGCCAGAGCAGGATCACCTACAGCAGGTCACACAGGGGTGTGGCCAGGCAGGTTTTGAACGTCTCCCGAGAAGGAGACTCCACAACCTCCCTGGGCAGCCTGTGCCAGTGCTCTGGCACCCTCACAGTGAAAACGTTTTTCCTAGTATTTTTGTGGAACCTCCTATGCTCCAACTTGCACCCTTTGCCCCTTGTCCTGCCACTAGACAGCACTGGGAAGAGCCTGGCTCCGTCCTCCTGACACTCACCTTTGACATATTTATAAACATTTATGAGGTCACCCCTCAGCCTCCTCTTCTCCAAGCTAAAGAGACCCAGCTCCTTCAGCCTTTCCTCCTAAGGGAGATGTTCCACTCCCTTCATCATCTTTGTGGCTCTGTGCTGGACTCTCTCAAGCAGTTCCTTGTCCTTCTCAAATTGATGGGCCCAGAACTGGACACAATATTCCAAATGCGGCCTCACCAGGGCAGAATAGAGGGAGAGAAGACGTCTCTTGACCTACTAGCCACCCCCCTTCTAATACACCCCAGGTTGCCAGTGGCCTTCTTGGCCACGAGGGCACATTGCTGGCTCACGGTCATCCTCCTGTCCACCAGAACCCCCAGGTCCTTTTCCCCTACACTGCTGTCCAACAGGTCAGTCCTCAGCCTATTCTGGTACTTGGGCTTGTTCTTTCCCAGGTGCAAGACTCCACACTTGCCCTTGTTGTATTTCACAAAATTTCTCCCCACCCAACTCTCCAGCCTGTTTAGGTCTCACTGAATGGCAGCACAGCCTTCTGGTGTTTCAGCCACTCCTACTAGTTTCACTTTTGAGCCATCAGCAAATATGCTGAGGGTGCACTCTATTCACTCATCCAGGTCATTGATGAATATATTGAATAGTACATGTCCCAGTACCAAGACCCGAGGGACTCCACTAGATACAAGCCTCCAACTAGACTCTGTCCCACTGACTACAACTCTCTGACTTCTTCCCTTCAACCAGTTCACAATCCACCTCACCACCCAGTCATCCAGACCACATTTCCTCAGTTTAGCTACGAGGATGCTGTGGGATATGGTGTCAAATGCTTTACTGAAATCCAGATAAATCACATCCTGCACTGCCATCATCTATCCACCTGGTTATATCTTCATAAAAAGCTATCATGTTGGTCAAACATGACTTCCCCTCAGAAAAACCATGCTGACTGCTCCTAATGACCCTCTTATCCTTGATATGCCTAGAGACAGTGCCAAGGATAAGTTGTTCCTTCACCTTTCCAGGGATGGAGGTGAGGCTGACTGGTCTGTAGTTACCCAGCTCCGCCTTCTTGCCCTTTTTGAAGACTGGAGTGACTTTTGCTTTCCTCCAGTCCTCAGGCACCTCTCCTGTTGCCCACTGCATTCTTGAAACTGGGGCCTCCACAACAAAGGGCACGAGCCTTAGGCATTTGAGCTAGAGTTCTACAGCCAGGTTTCCCAAGGTGGGCCGGTTCCTTCTGTGGCTTTCCAGAGGTTAAAAAAAGAAGAGGCTGCTCTTCCCAGTGTTTTCTGGCAGAGTCAGGCCCATAACTTCTACCAGGTTTGAATACAAAGCTAGATGTCATTCTTTTACACCCATCTGAAAATACCAGCCATGGTCCTTTAGTTCGGTACACTGGTGCTAACAATTTAAAACACACTTTTGAGAGGAGCAAAGGTCTGTACTGTGTTCTGTGTGCACCGAGCCACAAACTACCTTCCTCTACACCTTGTGTTTAGTTTTTCCATTGACTGGAGAAAGCACTTGCTGGCACTTGTCTCTATCCTGCTTTGGGTTTCCAAGGTAACTTCAGAATTAACGTTCCAGAAATATGACAAATGGATGAGAAATATGACTTAGAAGGGTTTATCCTGCAGTGGTTGGACATGTTTTGTGGAGACAAGACAACTGCAAAGCACTCATATGTTGTCTATTACCTAGTTCAGCTCCAGAGCAGGGAGATCCTGCTGA